TCTTTTCCAAAATTGGATTAATTTTATCAAAAAAACAGCAATCATGTTTTGTTCCTGAAATTGAAATATCTTTAAGGGTCTTAAATTTTCTTATAAACTCGAAAATTATAAAAAACTCGAAATAAGCTCTAAATCCCAGGTCTGACTTTTTGTTTTCTCATGATTCTTTTCCAACTGTTTTACTATTTTTATTTGTTTTTAAGACGCTTTGAAATCTTTTTCACCTTCGCAAGAACCTAAGTTTTCTCATAAACGACTCAATGGTAGCAATGGAATCCCACATATTGCCTTGTGTGACGGCAAATTCATCCGGGCTATTTTACCCTGCCCCGTTTTATAGTTTTACAAAATTCTACAAAAATTTGAGCGTTTTTAGGATTCTTTCAATTTTTCTATCAAAGTTGTTGAATTCAATCAAAACAACGGGCTATGGAAGGTTACCCTGCGTGAACGGAAACTACCATATTTTTCAAGAAGAAAAAAATATGCCCTCAAAATTGCCACATTTGACAGTTCGATTTTAAATTTTTTTTCGGCTCTTCTCGAAAACAAACACCCAAATTTCCAATTTGAAGAAAAATTGAAAGAACAAGTTGTGGCTATCTTCTTTTATTAATCAGCGTTTTTCTGAAGCCTGATACTTCAAAAACAAACTGAGTTTTTGGGAAATTTTTTTATTTTTCTTGCAAAAAACTACTCTCTCAAATCTAAGCTTAGAGAATCAATCGAATAGGAAGAGTGTCGGAATCCTGAGTTCTAACGGCTAGGTTCTACTTTGCATAAAGTTTTCATTGCCTTCGGAAAAGTAAGTTTTTGGAATTTACAAGTTTTTTTTGGAAATTTTTGACTTCTCTCTTAAACTATTCTGTCAAATCTTAAAAAAAAACTCAATAAAAGCAGGTTTATGGACTCTTCCCTTATAAAGTGGCAACATTACTGATTGCTATTCTGATGATGGAGGCACCGAATGATGGAAAAATTTCACCCAATCACAATCGTTAGAAGTTCATATGCGCTGCAAAAAGCGTAAAACTTAGACAGTCACATGCGATGTTCATAATACTAGAGGCAAATGGTATGATTCAGATCTAAAGAAATCAAGCGAGTGAATTGTATTGCCGACTGATGTAGTCACGCCATTATACTTTAATCAGTATTCATGATGTAAGCACGTTCAAAGGATACCTCATTCTCATCAAATAGTAGAGTTGCTTATCTGGATAAACCAACAGCAATTTGAAAAGGTCTTAAGATTGCTTCTAAATGGTTAATTTTAAAAGTACAGCCGTTTCAAAAAAATTGGACAGCCTTCGTTTGAACCGCTGTTTTTTCATAAGAAAATTAAAAAAAAAAAGAACAAATTAATTGAAGTAAGGGGTCTTATGCAATAAACGGCCCAAAATCGGTATATCTATATCCTTGAAAAGAAATTCATGTTGTTGAATATGATCGGCTAATTAGCTAATCATATTCAAACAGCATGGCGAGGCATTTCAAATAAAAGATCCAAGCAGACAAAATTATTAGCAGAACTGACCGAAAGTCTAAAAGGTTCCATTGAAGTCATTTTATTGAAATTTTCTTGCCTGGACATAGTTTCACAATTGGCCTTAATGGTTTTTGATTATTTGATTTAGTTCCGTTCGGGGATTTCGGCTAAAAGTTTTATCTGCTGAAACGGTGAATAAATTGCCTAGCCTCGTTGTTTGTAATTAATTGGCTAAAATTAGTCAATCAGACTGGAGCGCAACAATTTTAGCTCAACATGTAGCAATATTGGGCCGTTTAGTGCATAAGACCCGAAGTAAGTTCTAAAAACACAGTTAACGTCTGGAAGTTCTAATCTACTTACTGAATTAACCATAAAATTTCATCAGAGTAATTGCTACTATTTGAGCAGTGTGACTGATTGCTATTCTGATGATGGAGGCACCGAATGATGGAACAATTTCACCCAATCACAATCGTTAGAAGTTCATATGCACTGAAAAAGATTTGCACGAAAACAAAGTCAATATTAACAAAAAAAAACATGAATTGTAGCAAGAACAATCGGTGCACAGAACAAAAAATTTGTGTTTCTGTTGAGGCATTGAACTAGCCTTATTCGAAAATGCGGGTGACTGCTTGTGTTATAATCGGTCAGTTATATTTTTGATAGCCCGTTTTTTGCTTGTGTGGTTTCCTGTGTGGTAAAAATTTGTTTTTTGAAAATGTTTGAGATTTCGTTTTCATGAGTAATGAACGTAGCGAGTACTCCATATAACTCTTGGAAAGTTTTTTTTTCAGGAAAAAGTCTGAAAGAACTTTGTGACGCACAATTTTGATTTTTCGCGGCTTGGCTTTTGATTGCTTTTCAAGTTTAGTTCATTTTGTTAAATGGGAGGCAAACTCCATTATCGAGCAGCTAAAATGTAAAGATCGCAAGAAACGCGATCAACTTGTTTTGAAACTGGAAATAATTATGAGATTTCTTAGCGAAGTTAAAGACTTACCTATTGATCCTCTTTTCCGAAATCGGATTAATTTTATCAAAAAAGCAGCAACCATGTTTTGTTCTTGAAATTGAAATATCTTTAAGGGTCTTAAGTTTTCTTATAAACTCGAAAATTATAATAAACTCGAAATAAGCTCTAAATCCCAGGTCTGCCTTTTTGTTTTCTCATGATTCTTTTCAACTGTTTTACTATTGTTATTTGTTTTTAAGACGCTTTGAAAACTTTTTCACCTTCGCGAGAACTTAATTTTTCTCATAAACGACTCAATGGTAGCAATGGAATCCCACATATTGCCATGTGTGACGGCAAATTCCCCCGGGCTATTTTACCCTGCCCCGTTTTATAGTTTTACAAAATTCTACAAAAATTTGAGCGTTTTTAGGATTCTATCAATTTTTCTATCAAAGTTGTTGAATTCAATCAAAACAACGGGCTATGGAAGGTTACCCTGCGTGAACGGAAACTACCATATTTTTCACGAAGAAAAAAATATGGCCTTAAAATTGCCACATTTGACAGTTCGGTTTTTAAATTATTTTCGGCTCTTCTCAAAAACAAACCCCCAAATTTGCAATTTGAAGAAAAATTGAAAGAACTAGTTGTGGCTATCTTCTTTTAATAATCAGCGTTTTCCTGAAGCCTGATACTTCAAAAACAAACTGAGTTTTTGGGAAATTTTTTAATTTTTCTTGCAAAAAACTACTCTCAAATCTAAGCTTAGAGAATCAATCGAGCAGGAAGAGTGTCGGAATCCTGAGCGCTAACGGCTAGGTTCTACTTTGCATAAAGTTTTCATTGCCTTCGGAAAAGTAAGTTTTTGGAATTTACAAGTTTTTTTTGGAAATTTTTGACTTCTCTCTTAAACTATTCTGTCAAATCTTAAATAAAGAGTTCAAAAAAAGCAGGTTAATGGAATCTTCCCTTATTAAGTGGCAACATGGCTACAGCTTCAATTGAAATTGCAGAGCCTGTGAATCTCCCTGCAGCAACAGCTGCGCATGAGTGGTTCTGTTAGTGTTGAGATTGAAGGTTTAAGTGAAAGCATATGGTGCAAAGATCTTCTCCGCATAAACCTTAATGCCGCTATGGCCTTCGAATTTGTTTTAAATTATGACCAAATTCTTCAAGACTTTTTCAGAAAAAAATTTAAAAAATCATTAAAACCTATATTGAGTACTCACTACGTTCCTTACTCTTGAAAACCAATTACCATACATTTTAAATGAACAACTTTTTATCACACAGAAATCAAAAATTGTAGAAACGAAATAGCTCTTCAAGCAAAAAAACGGGCCATTAAATTTATAACTGGCCGATTAAAACATAAGCAGTCGTCCGAACTTTCGAATAAAGCTAGTTCAATGCCTCAATGGAAACACAAAATTTTTGTTCTGTGCACCGATTGTTCTTGCTACAATTCATGTTTTTTTGTTAATATTGACTTTGTATTCGTGCAAATCTTTTTCAGCGCATATGAACTTCTAACGATTGTGATTGGGTGAAATTTTTCCATCATTCGGTGCCTCCATCATCAGAATAGCAATCAGTCATACTGCTCAAATAGTAGCAAATAATCTGATGAAATTTTATGGTTAATTCAGTAAGTAAATTAGAACTTCCAGACGTTAACTGTGTTTTTAGAACTTACTTCGGGCCTATTGCACTAAACGGCCCAATATTGCTACATGTTGAGCTAACATTGTTGCGCTCCAGTCTGATTGACTAATTTTAGCCAATCAATTACAAACAACGAGGCCAGGCAATTTAATCGCCGTTTCAGTAGATAAAACTTTTAGCCGAAATCCCCGAACGGAGCTTTATCAAATAATCAAAAACATTCAAGGCCACTTGTGAAACTATGTCCAGGCAAGAAAATTTCAATAAAATGACTTCAATGGAACCTTTCGGTCAATTCTGCTAATTATTTTTGTCTGCTTGGATCTTTAATTTGAAATGCCTCGCCATGCTGTTTGAATATGATTAGCTAATTAGCCGATCATATTCAACAACATGAATTTCTTTTCAAGGATATAGATATACTGATTTTGGGCCGTTTAGTGCATAAGACCCCTTACTTCAATTAATTTGTTCTTTTAGTATTTTTTTTATTTTTCTTATGAAAAAACAGCAGTTCAAACGAAGGCTGTCCAATCTTTTTTAAAACGGCTGTAGTTTTAAAATTAACCATTTAGAAGCAATCTTAAGACCTTTTCAAATTGCTGTTGGTTTATCCAGATAAGCAACTCTACTATTTGATGAGAATGAGGTATCCTTTGAACGTGCTTACATCATGAATACTGATTAAAGTATAATAGCATGACTACATCAGTCGGCAATACAATTCAATCGCTTGATTTCTTTAGATCTGAATCATACCATTTGCCTCTAGTATTACGAACATCGCATGTCATGTGACTGTCTAAGTTTTACGCCTTTTGAAGGCATTTAAATTTCGTGCGTTTAACATGTGACCTGCAAAGCTTCTCAAGGTCCAAAGAAACATTACTACAAAAATAACTAATTCACCATTTATGTATGTCATTATAGTTAAAATACTTAACTTCATAGAGAAGCAACATTGGCATTTCAGCAAATTTTGAACGCTTAGCAGCAAAAATTTTTCGATTTAGGCAGACGTTTCGATTCTGGCACCAAGATTTATATTCGCAGAGCAAGATATGAAAAAAATTACACTGATACTCATTTCAAATTTTATAAATGGCATTTCTTTAACTATTTGAAGATTTTTAAAAATTTTTGTTTAACATATAGCTCTTGACGATACATATGCCAGGTAAAAAACTTCGATTATGTCATTATAATTCAATTTACAGCATTAACTTTAAACTATCTAACGATAACCAAAATAACTTTTTAACACTAACTAAATAGATCTACACCCAACACGCGACAACAGTCATGTTAACTTACACACAGTGAAGTGAGCTGCGGGTTATTATTCTAATTTGCACGTTTAGGGAGAACTCTGATCAAAAATTAGACATCTAACTTATCCAAATTAAACTAACTCTGCTTTGATTTGTATCTATATAGTAATGTGAGTTTGTAACGAAGAGAGAGAAGAGAGAGTAATTCTATAGGTTAAGTTTAGCACCGCTGGCGAGTAGCACACTCGAGTTTCTACTTGTTCGGAAAAATATCAATCGAAACCAAAACGCGTTTCTATTCTAATCTAATTTTTCTCTTCTGGTTAAGCACGTTGACCCTTTGACCTCTTGACTTCGTCAAACCTCAAAGTTGACCTTTCGCATGTAAAGATAACATCTTGAGTCTCATCTGCTGTTTCTCGTCATTTTTGATGCTTCATGTGATGTTACAAAACCCCCAGACAAATTAAAATAAACAATAAATGTCGAAATAAATTAAAACGCAGACGTTTAACAATTTAGATAAAAGACCAGACCACCCTTGGTCGCTCCAAAGTTATGGCCAAAATTGTGGTTTTATTGCGACCATAAACCACAAGACAAGATTTCAGACATTGTTGTCAAACGTCAAATAATCCTACAAAAGAACTGATAATCTAAATAATGGCAATTCTTTCCATTTGTAGTTTTCTTTCAAAGATTTGTTCCATTTGTTCAGTAAATCAGAAAATAATAACAGTGGGGGTTCAGGAAAAACACAGAAAAACTGATTGTCCCAGCCAAATGGAAAGACATGAATCGCAATTACTCAAAGTTCAACGGAACTTCTGTTCGGAAAAAATGAAGATGAGGCCAAAGATGGAAAGCAACTGTTGAATATTTTAAAGATTGATAAACAGAAATAAAACAATGGTCAACTTCGCACCAAAAAGGTTCAACAAGAGAAATCGCGAAAGTTTCATTCTTTGGTAGATTGCTTATATTTTTTTCGAAGCATTTTTTCTAAAATCTAACTTGAGCCATGCTGAACTATCATTAATATTGAGCAAACAGTGAGCATTAAGGTAAAAATCAACAGTAACTGTAATAAAAATAGGTAACATTGAAACTTGACGAGGCGTGGAAAGATAAGAGAGAAGGAAACGTGTGTCGGAGGTAGAATGGCTTCGGATAGAAGAAAAGGTGGGTGGGGTTGAGGGTCCGTGTTTAAGAGCTGTAATGAATGGGGAGGTGGGGGTGGGGGCGAAAGTTGAAGGGGGGCTGGGCTTGACTAGTGTCACGTCCATCCGTTCTCCTTGACCATGTGCACTAACTCGATAATGAACTTGCCCTCTTTGTATTTCTGACTGCTTTCGAACGCCTGTTCCTGAAACACAAAACACCGTCAGCCAGGGTCAATAAAAGGTCAACCTATATGAGAGATTGTAGCGCATTTCATTTTTCAAACGAGCTTATACAAAACACAGTCGAAAAAAAATAATATCAAAAACCAATGACATCAATTAAATTTTTTTATCACGCTCCTTCGAGGTAAATCTCTCTTAGGCTCAGGTCGATCACTCATCTGAACATCTACGCGATGAAGCACTTGACAGGATATTGAAAAAAGCAGCACAAGTCCCACTCCCGCCATTCATGACATAAATCACCGCGAATATGAAATAACATGCCAATCTCTCTGCTACAAATTAGATGCATTTCAATTACAGTTATCGCTCAAGTTTTAACTCCAGGAACTTAAAAAATGTTTTTTTCCACCTGTCAATCACAGATCTCCGTTTCCATATTTTTCAAAAAGCATGTCGCTGATAATTTATGAACTAAATATATATGACAGTTTTGTCGCAAATTACGGTGTTTCGGTCACATCGCCCTCGGACCATTTGATAGAATTTACTTTCCTTTTATATGTTAATTTGAATCCATTCAAGCGACAACGATTAGATTAGCTATCAAACTGATTCACAAACTGAATTTATATATTCCGTTTCCATTTCAAAAAGGTTCTAACTGAATTTCTCGGCGTGATTCTAAAATGTATTCACGCCACTTCTCATTTCAAATACAAGATGAATCAAGCGGTTCTTAAAATGTTGTAACTTCTGAACTGATTTGTTTTTTCGCATTCAAAGAAAACCTTCTTAAAGATGTAATTGCCATCGATTAGAATGGTTGAGATCGAAAGCCAATTTAATCTCAATTTGCTGCTAGAATAAAAAAGAAGAGCTGCAAGTTTAGATTGCCGCCATTTTAAAGGCCTTCTAAATTTGATCCTGGGAGCTTAGGAGACAATACTTTCAGCATCAAGCTCAGCCTACATTCAATTTAACTCAGACATTACTTAGAATAATTTTATGTAGCTGGAAAAAATTTGCAACTGCTTAGAGATTGATTTGAAGGCGGCTCGAAAGTCTAAAAATTAGGATAATTCCATTACTGCCTAAAAATCTAGAAATAAAAAGATTATTTCACAAGGGAAAAAGCCACAAAAAATCGATTCAGCTCTGAGTAAATCTCTGCTGTACACTATATTCAGAAATACGAACAAATTTTTTACTTGCCTATCGGGGCTGGGTAACATTACCTCACCCCGGATGAAGCTGGACCTCGAACCACCGATCTTTCGCTAAGAGGCGGAAACTTAGCTATTTGAGCGCCGCTACGCATCCCAATATAAAAAGATAAAGCTCTTTAAATACCACTTAACTTTAATCGTTGACACTTTATTCATAAAACTAACCCAATTAGAGAAAATTGGGTCAATATAAAACTGTATTACTCCGCTGGGAATTATGAAAAGTAGAAGTGCATTTGTGAATAGAAAAGTCATTTACGTTTTTTTTGCGTATTATGGAATTTCGTCATTGGAGCGCAAAATTTGTCTTCCTTTTAGTAAATGAATTTGAATTGAACTTGAAATATATTCAAAAGCCAAACCGCCAAAAGTCAAATTATTTCCTGAGAAGATGACTTTTTCCTGAAAGAAAAACCTATAAAATCAGCACGACCTTAAAAAAAGGGCTTCAACACGTTCATTGGCATTTGAAAATTTGACTGATTTATATTTCAAAGTAGATTACTATTTTCGAGAGATTGTACTAGGTAATTAGGTACTAGACTCTCTAGTAGGATCTTTTCCCGTATTTCTTTCCAGGTAACTTTTCCCTCCCTATCTCAAATTGGTGCAGTATTGAACCCAATTAATGGTCTATGAAGGTCCTCAGTAGCCTTTTAGGTAAGACCTGAGAAGTTCCCATTACTTTTTTTATGCTGGGTAAATAGCTCGAATCTTATTTTCGAGAAATTGATTTCTTTTTTTCAATCAGAAATTTATTAGGCTTAAAAGCTCAAGTTATAGCATCATACTCTCTTGTTGCGTCATTTGAGTAGCGAAAATTTAAACGCAAGTGTGAGTGTTGCGGAGTCGGGGACTTCGCAAAACTTTTTACAGCTCAAAGATTTTCTAACATAATTGTTATACTCAGCGAACTTCTCCGATTAAGTAGTTTTGCACCGGTTCGTAAAAAGTTAACTATTTATTTCAATACAGGACTTTTCTTTTTCTATGTGATTTTCGTGCCAAACAGGGAGTCTCGACTCTCTAGTTTTTCCGATATTTTTGACTAAGCAACTTTCTTCCCATTTTATGACGACTAGCATGCTTGTGATCTATCGCAAGTGAGGCAAAGCACAAAGAATTTGAAAAAGTTTGAAACAAATATTTTTCGTTTTTTAGTTCATTAACAGCTTTCAATTTGTCTGTAGTCTAATGCATTTTCTTTCAGTTTTTCTTTAAAGTAGTATGTTTTTTTGGTGCGCGGTATGATATGAGCTATACAAAAGCGTAGAAAGTTGATGAATTAGGCATAACAGAAAACAGTTCTCTTCAAAAAAAAATAACAGGCATGAAAAAAAAACTAATTTTTTAACAGAACATTGCTGAGAAAGCGCTAAATAAAACTAATTTTTACTTCAATAAAATCAAACTTTTTTATCCTAATATAACAAAAATTACTCGATTGCTTAACTCGCTCGAAATAAGACAAAAGCTCAACAGTATCAAACCGTTTTTTCTCGACATTGGGACAATTTTTGAAAATTTTTGAGTCATTCGAATCAAGGAAGAAAAGGCTTTAATATATATCACTCGACCCAACTAGTTGATTATTAGCATAGAGCCTTATAAGATACCTACTTTTGCATACAAACAAAGAAAATCAAACACACCGAATCGAAGTTCCTCTCCATTTTCAATAGGCGAAACGAAAACTTCCTTATCAATAATTCAAAACCTAGCCAAAAAATGGACGAGTCAATGGAAGAAAAATTAAACAAAAAAATCTTAACTTTCAAACTTCAAAACAAAATACCGTAAAATTACTTGAATTTCTCGAAAAAATATTGATTGACACTTTTTTGATAAAACCTGAGAAAACTGGATCAAAAGATGAAATTTACATTCCGCTGATAAATCTGAAAACCAAAATCTACTATCAAAACTAGAAGTACAATATGTTTTCCGCTAACTTTACACTTCTGCTGCTCGATAGTAAAGTTTGCCTTTCCTTCTTACAAAAGAAATGAACTGAAATTAAAAAAACTTAAAGCCAATTTGCAAAAATCAAATTTGAGCCTGAACAATTTCTAAGACTTGTCCTAAAAAATATCACGACCGTTACAAGAGTCTTCACTACACTTATCCACTCTTATACAACATCGGCCAAAGCCACCTCATTTGCAGATCTATTGAACAACTCATACCGCTGTTTCCCTTAAAGCTTTGTAAAAAAAATAACGCCCTTCAAAATGAAGCAGGCTATTTTCAGTGCTTATTTAGAACAGCAGAAACAAATTAATGATTAGATTTAAAAACATACTTGAACGTCTAGCTTCTTTCAGATAAAAACTTGATTTCATCTGGTAATAACTTTGCTCCGACCACTTATGCACAGACAGTAGCATATTTAGGGTGGGGAGGGGGAGCCGACGCTTTCTTTCAGGAGTTCGGCCCCCTGCCGACCCAAAGGGTCCCCCTTTGTACTATTTTGAGATATCCATTTTGGCCTGACTGACCTTAAAATTTTTGTAAAGGCGCCAATCTATACTAATTTTGAGGGGGGAGTTCAGGGGCGGATCTAGGATTTTTTCGAGGGGGGGGGGGCGGATTTTCAAAAATTTTTCGAAAATTTTGACGACCTTTTTTTTTTTAGGTCGACCAAATTGATTTTCCGAGCTCGTCTAAAGCACTAAAAGGTCCCTGTTTTGGCCAAATGTTCTGCGCCGCAGGTAAATTTTTGAAAAAACGGGTCAAAAAAGTCGTTTTTAGGCACTTTTTGAAAAATTTTGACAAAAAAATCGCGTTTTTTTGGCGCGCGCTCCCCCTTAAAGTTAGTATATATTGGCGCCGAAGGTGAATTTAGAAAAATTTTAGGGTCGGTGGGCAACAAATGGATTTCTTAAAAAGTACCAAAGGGGGGACCCTTTGGGTCGGCAGGGGGTCAAATCCCTGAGGGGGGGCGTCCGCCCCCCCCCCCCTAAATCCGCCCCTGGGGGAGTTTACGGTCGAAAATTTCCAATAAGTGTCTAAAAACGCCTTTTTTCCAAAAATTTAGGTCAAATTAGGGTCTTTATAATGATTTGGGAGAGCTCAGAAAATCAATTTGGTCGACCTAAAAAAATGTAGACAAAAAGACCTACAAACCTAAACCTTGAATTATAGCAATATCAGGCTCTTTTCTGCTTAACAAGCGCATGAAAAATTATTAAGCCTTCTGGCATTATATTTCAATACATACCCAAAAGCACCAACTGTTGGTCTAATTTGAAATCAGATCAAGCATGCTCAATCTTTATGAAAATGTTCACAGCCTTTATGACCCCAAACTGCATCAAAAGAAATTTTCGCATCACTGCAGACACAAAATGAAATTAATAATTTTAATCGAAAGTATGAAGAGAAGCAAAGTAAATTTTGCAAATACTTCCGAAAAAAGCGAAAAGGAAGCTTGCAAAAACCCTAGTTATCTCGGAAAACAGGAAAAAGAAGTTTTTACTGTTTTATTCACATAATTTCAAAAGGTCATCTTTGGGAATTTTCTTCGAGTTTCGGTTATCGAAATAAAACGCGAACAATTTGAAAAAAACGATTTTGAAGATCAAATTCTAAACTAAACCGTCAAAAATTCGGACATAGGTTATCAACCAAATCATTCAAAAAATTCAAAAGAAGCTTCAAAAAATTGTATTTTCCGAAATTATAACAAATCTGATCTCTAGACGATTGCATGATATGTCACATGAAATACAGAAAGAAAACCAACTGAAGGCAAACCGAACAGATCGCCGCTTACGGTGGAAGAAGCACAA